TTTAGTCCAATTTAGTTAAATCTTTAGTTCCGGCTTCTTTCTTTCCCAGTTCGAAGCCCCGCTTAGCTGTCAAAAATATTTTCTTATTTTTTTCCTGTCCCTTTGTAATTTCACCACTCACTTTTCTTTTCTTAAAAATTCCATGTTACCTTAATCCCGGGGTACTTTTGTTTAGTTGTATCACCCAATTGTCCCGGTTCAGATGTTATCCACCTCTTTCTTCCCTCCTGTACAAATCTTAATCCAGCTGAGTCCCCCTCTTCGGGGTGGCCATTTTAAACCACTGCTGCTGTCGGCTTCAGGGGGGAAAAGACCAAGCCCAGGAGGGGAGATGCAGCTCCCCTCAACCTGGCTTGCAGCTTCCCCTTACTCCACCGCGCCTCCAAGGCAGCTTCAGCCCCTAATTGTAATGATCGGGGCTGTCCAATGAAAGAGCAGGGACCATAGCCACAGAGAGTCACGATCTACGGTCTGTCAGCGAGGAGGCTCTGCCTTCTTCCATCAAGAATTTAGTTTTTATTGTTGTGGTTTGAGACCTGTTGTTGCTGCAGGGCAGGGTGAGCTTCTGTCACACACTCCAGCTCCTGCCAGATAATCCTGAGTAGATAAATGGGTACTACTTTGGTGTTCTGACATGAAAGAAGAAGAATGGGAGGGATGTGGGAAAATTGAAGTTTGGCAACAAGAGCAGCATCAAGGAACAAGTGGAGAATACAATGCAGTGGACATGGAAATAAGATGTAGGAGACTTGGTTGCTCACTCATTCCAGTCCTTAAAAAAATGAATTCAATTCTGGACTTTCTATGTTTTTTAAAAAAAGATTCACACCTGGACAAGACATCTTTAATTCTTTATTATCATCAAAAAGGTGAAGTAACTAATGGCTATAATAAAGTTATTTTTAAGATATGTTTTGAATTGTGCACACTTCATAAAAAATAAGTATTAAATTCAGCCTCCCTCATTTTTTTTCATCATGAGATGCTCCTTCATGTTCATGTGAGGTTTCAGGACAATGATATAACATTTGGGGACAAAGATGCAGCCCAGTAAACCCAGGCTGGAGGTCAGGATGGAGAAGATCTGCACAGCCACCATGTATTTCCCTTTTGTGCTCAGGTAGGTGGGGACAAAGGAGATCCAGACACTGCAAAAAATCAGCATGCTGAAGGTAATCAGTTTAGCTTCATTGAAAGTCCCTGGCAGCTTGCGGGCCAGGAAAGCCACCAAGAAGCAGACAACAGCCAGAAATCCCATATAGCCAAGGGCAGAGTAGAACATGGCAACTGAGCCTTCATTACATTGTATCAGGATCTGTCCTGGTTGAGAATGCATGTCAACATCTGGGAATGGGGGAGCAAGTCCAAGCCATATGATGCAGATTCCTATCTGAATCCATGAGCAGAAGAAGACAATGGAGTTGGCCAGACGCTTCCCCAGCCATTTCCTCATCCTGCTGCCTGGCTTTGTAGCTAAAAATGCTGCCACCACCATTATAGTCTTGGCCAACAAGGAAGATACAGCAACTGAGAAAACAATACTAAAAGTGGTTTGCCGAAGAAGGCAGGTTATTTTTTGGGGATGACCAATAAACAGGAAGGAGGCCAAGAAGGAAAGGAGGAGAAAGACCAGAAGAATATAGGTGAGATCCCGGTTATTGGCTTTGACTATGGGAGTTTCCCGGTATTTAATAAAAATGTATAGAACAAAGCCAGTGGTTAGAGACAAAATCAAGGCAGAAATAGCCAAGATTAGACCTAAGGTTTCTTCATAGGACAAGAAACTTATAACTTTGGGATCACACTGGTCTCGCTTCTTATTGGAATGCTGATCATCTGGACACCTTTTGCAATGAGCAGCATCTGAAAAGCAGAAGCAATGTTTTGATTAATTAGCAGATACTTTATACTCCTAATTGTCTGCACATATAAATTTGACAGTCTCACCCATATTACATAAACCTGTTTTGGAAGGAGAACATTGTAAAGGGAATACATGCAAGCAACATTTAATTTTGCTTGAATAGAATCAAATGTTGCTGTGTAATAATGAGCAGATTCTATAGAAATTTCAGATACAAATGCAGAGTGGTGCAACTGATATGCCAGAAAAAAAGATCATTGTTTCTTAATCTTAGCTGAAGTAACCAGCTGTCCATTATGGAAGCCAGTATGTTTGCCCAGAGGAGATTTTGATCTGATCTATCAGGGATTCTTGCAAGGCTGGCGTCATAGACCATGTTTTGCATACAGGAAATTCCAGCATCATCCACAAACAGTTCAAAAGGAATTATCAGAACAGTCTTTCAATGATATTTTAATAGGTCTCTGCCAAGCAGAGTAGATAGTAGTCTGGTGAGGGTCAATATTTACTGTTACGGTGTTTTTCATTCATCACCTTTTGTGCTTCTTGATTGATAACATTGAGAGCCAACATAGTAGAATTATCAAGGCATCAGGCTAACTACCTTTTTGGGGATCATGTAAACAACAATCCCAGATTGTTGCAATTACAACAGCCTGTAAAAAGGTACTACTTTTAATTATTTGAAAAGTGTTGCTAATTTGGAACTCCTGCAGGTTCTGAAAAATCTCTCTGAATGACATATAGAGCTCAATTTGATCAGTGAGACAAAAGCTCTCCAGTCTGCATGTATGAAAGTTCACCCAAAGTAAAGCCTTGGTCTTCCCAATGAAACTCCCTCTTACCTGAAGATGTTACCTAGCTTGGTAATGAAACATTTGGAAAACAACCCACGAGCTCAGAGAATGAACCTTTACCCTCATCCTACACCCAATCTATGGATAATTCGCCACTATTGCAAAGTCCCTGTCTCTGGTTTAGGAGCCTCTCTTTTAGACTGCTTCTAAATTAATAACCAAACTCATTTTAACTTGCCATAAGAAGGAAGTTATCAAATGCAAAGGGAAATATTTGTATTCATTATTTTTAATTGGATTGAAGTTGAAACTTTACTTTTGACCTTGCTGAACATTCTTTTTGAACTGTATCCCTGAGCTTGTCAGTTAAAAGCAAATCATGATCTATGGCTAAAAATATTTGCCCCACCAGCGAAGGCACACATAACCTCCATATTGAAGGTTCTAGACAACCTCAGGAATTCTGTAGAATAGTTTTATGGTTTGCTCCAAAGCCACCTACCTTCTTGCATGGAAATTGTTCCTTCTACACAACGAGAACAGTCATAGCAGCAGATTGGTGCTCCCTCTCTGGTGAGCTTGGTGTATCCTGGGTGACAACTTTCAGTACATCTAGACAAAGGGAACTTCTAAATGTAAAAGTGAAGAGTGAATTATGAATGGCAATGAAAAGTGAAGAGTGAATTATGAATGGCAATGAAAAGTGAAAACAATCAACCAATGGAACAGAAGTTGCCTTCGGAAGTTGTGGGAGCTTCATCACTTGAGACTTTCAAGAAGAGATTGGACTGCCATTTGTCAGAAGTGATGTAGGGCAGAGGTGTCAAACTCAAGGCCCAGGGGCTGGATCTGGCCTGTGGAGTGCCTAGATCTGGCCCACAGGGCCACCTTGGAAACAGCAAAGGACCAACCTGCGGTACCTGTCAGTGAAAATGGAGCTTGGGAGGGCCATGTTTTCACTGGGAGAGGGTTGCAGGAGGCCTCGCAGCTGAAAATGGAGCTCGTACGCCCATTTTCACTGGCAGATCGCTCAGGCTACCACAGGTGCCCCTGACATGAGTGACATCAAGCTGGTCAAGCCCACCCTGTCCATGCCCCCCCCAAGGTCAAACACAACCCTAATGCAGCCCTCAATGAAATTGAGACAACCCTAGGCAAGGGGATTGGACTAGATGACCTACAAGTTCCCTTCCAACTCAGTTAATATGTAATCTGAATCACAGAGTGGGTTCTCACCCTGGGTTAAACTGAACTCACAATAAAATCATTGAGCCTAATCACTGATGAGTTTACCCCCTGGGATCCTAGGATCCTTTCTGGCAGCAGGATTTGGGCTGAAGCAGAGGAGAAACTATTCCAGCTCATTCTTGACTTCTTTTTAATCCAAAAGTGGTAAAGAATCTATACTTGCCAAACCTCTTGACCCTATATGCCAGTTATGCCCT